GGGCGGGGGTGCGGGAGGCCAAAGCGATGTCATTATGAGAGCGATGAGACCCGCGTTATTGCTCAGCACAGAGGAGAGCACCCCCACCCCCTTACCCCCGGCCTTTTCCGTTGTAGAGGTCACCTGCATCATGATTAGAATCGAATGCTTTTGATTTATTTATTTTTGTGAATCTTCTGGAATGCTTTTGGAATACCTGAAAAAGTTTTGGTGGAATATCTGGAAATTTTTTGTTGAATATCTGGAAATTTTTTGTGGAATATGTGGCGAATAGTTTTGGAATATCTGGATTTTTTTTCAATATCTGGATATTCTCTCATGGAGGTAAAATGCCCCCGACATTTTAATGTCACTTACACATTTAGCCTGCTGTACCTAGCACTTCGAAAAAGTTGGCATGAAAAAAGTACTCCCCCCAATGAAAACGGTGCAATATGTTTAACGGAACCAACCTTTTCCCAGCGCAGACGACTGACTTGACTTGACTAACCACGGCATGCAATATTAGGGCGTTACCAATTATTACCAAGTATACTTCGATAATTAAAATTATCTTTTAGAATTTGAAGAGTGACTCGTCGCGATGACAATTCGAGTCTTTGGTACACATTTTGGAGGAATAGGTGTTATATAAGTTGGCAGTGCCCCTCTCCCCCGCTAACGAGGCGCGCGACTCTGACAAGAGTGCCTCTCCTCACCGTCTCACCCTCTCAGCTTTGACTCTTTGATGGCGGAAATAAAATTCACGAAAAATAAAAACACAACAAAAATAAATAAAACGCGCGGCCATATAATTATGATTCGCTTTACCTGGATTCTCGCTTCTGGAAGGCCAATTTTTTCCGCTAGCCGCTCTCTTGCGAACACGTCAGGGTAATGGGTCCGCTCGAATTCTGTAAACGGACGAATAAAGACACGATGAGAACAAGAAATTAAACTCATTTACCTTTGTCACTGACAAGGTGCACCTCCTTTATAGACGTTTTGCATGCCGCTGCCATTGCCTTCACACGGGCACTGTGAAAAATAGCCTTTCAAACATATCTTTACAATATTTGTCATTATTTTGATTAAGCGTTTTTCTCAGCAGCAAGAAAATTTTGAAGTTAAACATTTCCGAATTCAGTCGTCAAATGCAGTATTTGCTCGTCGTAGGCAAGTAGGTCGATTAAAAATGTTCAGAGCTTGACTGATTTTACAGGTAGGGGCTGCCTCACTTACCTTTCTCCAGGCTGTCTATCTGCTCGTTTGAGAAGGAGGTCCGGTTGCGCTGTAGCTTCCGCTTGAGCTTCAGACGGTCAGTGAGCTGCGAGTCGTCCTCACCGTCCCCCGACGAGTTGTGGTCTGAGTTGCCGTCCGAGCCGACACCCTCCTGGGACAGGTCACCTGCGCAGACACAAGTCGTGCGTTAGTTACACTTATCTCACTGTCGTGATTAAAAGGAGAACAAGTCTAGTCTGCACCTGTAGATATGGAAAAAGGGGTACACAGGTTTTCTTGGTGGTGCAAAAGGGTAAGCTTAGGGAGGACTTCTTCACTATTATTTTCAAAAGAAATTTGGGTAAATTTGAAAATGACACGTTCAAACAAAATTTTCAGAGTCCTTCATTTTATTTTTGGAACGAGAACTCTGTTAAAGAATGTGAGCAATTGGAAGTGTAGGAAGAGTTGAACACCTACAATTTCACATTAACGGAGTTATATACTTGCAACTAGTATTCAACTTGTAGTAGCACTCTTACAAGTGTTAAGCAGTTGCACTTTATCAGTATGTGTGGCGCTGTGTTTTATGTCTGTGTTCAGAGAATTTCAGAGAGAGAGAGAGAGAGAGAGAGAGAGAGAGAGAGAGAGAGAGACAGAGAGACAGAGAGACAGAGAGAGACAGAGACAGCGATAGAGAGAGGGACAAAGAGAGACAGAGAGACAAGGGAGAAATAGACAGAGAGAGACAGCGTCGAGCTCGGAAGAGGATAAAGAAGAAGGCAAGAGGTGGTGGCGCCACCACCAGGCCCCCCCTGCACCTATCAGACGCAGGGGCCGTGAATAAGTGATTAATTAGATACGATCGACTCCACTCAGCGCTCCTGCGGTCGAGGGGGGGG